GTTTGGGTTTAAAATGAACATCTTCTATGTCCCTTGTGTAGTCTGTGTTGATGTTTTCTAAAATTTGAATCAATGTGTTCTTTCATAGGGGAGAGCAAACGTGTCCTTGGCATTAGATTGTGAAATGGGAAAATCCCTTTTTCAATTATGATGACGTATCACGTCCTGTTTGCTGTTGAAAGGATTTCCGTTGATATATAGAGTTAACATTTATATACATTTATATATATATATATATATACATTTATACATATATATATGTTATCTTATGACAGGGAATGAAGAGAGCTTATTGTAACTTATTCAGCATTAGCAGACTGGAAATTTCTCAGGAAACGTACATTCAACATTTTATGAAACTTATCTAGGGAGGGGTAAGGGAAATAATCATTAAGCAAATACAAAATAGCTCTGTGTAACCAAGGACTTTAGACCTGTCAAATTTGTATTGCTTTTATTTTGTTCCTCGAAATTTGTGTTATATGTGTTTTAAATAGGAGTCTATTTAAAAAAAAATAATAATTAATTTTTATTAATTACAAAATTCTTAGAAATGTTAACTTTAATTTTAAATTGTTCGCACTGTCACTGCAGAGTGTGAGCATGATTGTTGTATATCTCTGTGTGTAGTATCTTTGTTTTGTTTTCACAGTATAGTGTTGTTTCCTGTATGTGTATATTATGTTTGTTTTGCGTGTGTATCTACTGTATGTCTAATGTGTGAGTTATGTATGCGTCTTGTGCGTGAATGGGGTATGTGTTCTGTGTGAGTGAGTTATAAGTGTATGTTCTGTGTGAGTGAGTTATAAGTGTATGTTCTGTGTGAGTGAGTCATAAGTGTATGTTCTGTGTGAGTGAGTCATAAGTGTATGTTCTGTGTGAGTGAGTCATAAGTGTATGTTCTGTGTGAGTGAGTCATAAGTGTATGTTCTGTGTGAGTGAGTCATAAGTGTATGTTCTGTGTGAGTGAGTCATAAGTGTATGTTCTGTGTGAGTGAGTCATAAGTGTATGTTCTGTGTGAGTGAGTCATAAGTGTATGTTCTGTGAATTGTGTATGAATCATACTTGTGTGGTAGAGATTACTTGTTGATAGTACTAATTCACTCACCTAACACGACATAACAATTTAATTGTCTCGAATCCAAAGGCGTATCGAGGGGGGGGGGGCAGCGGCGGACAGATGTCCCCGACCGCAAGCTAGTTAAGGGCGCCAAAATGTGCTTAAATACATAATAGTGTGTTTATATTTTGTCTAAACAGCATTTAAAAGTAGAAATTTCCAAGGAAACTGACATTCAAAATTTTATAAATCTGCTCTAGTGAGTCGTAAAGAAAATAAACTATAAATTTAATGCAAAATATCTCAGTAACCGAGGTATCCGAGATTAAGAAAATATTCTATTTGGCTAACATTTATATTTATATATAATCTTGGTGACAGCTAAATTTAAAACCACTGCCTGGGCCGACGCGAAACAAAACAAAAAAAATATAAATTAGGCATTGATCAATTCATATCAAAGCAAAAGAAGTTTTTTTTAAAATAATTTCATTTGAATATATTTTCCTCCTTTATCTAACAATATAACAGAAAAATTTAAAAAATAATAATAAACTCATAATTATATACGTCAAACCGTCCTAATGAATTCTATATGTCACGGTGGTGGTATTTAATTCGAGAGTTCATTATGCATATAGGCCTTAAAGCGATAGAAAAAAATTACGGTTTTAAAAATTGTTAAAACTTTAATGGACACCAAAAAAAATCAAATTTTTCAGCAAATCAAATTATCAAATCCAGTGATTGCTCAAATTTTCTTTTATATTCATAGTAATTGCTTAGTCTTGAATTTCAATTATATATATTGTGTTGCTCGATGGCTGTGAGGTCAAAAGTGGACAACTGAACTTGTGGAACCGATGCCGATCTTCAGTTCCATAGATCCCTTGATCCCGAGATCTTCTGATCCCTAGATCCACAGATCCTCAGATCCCTAGATCCACAGATCCCAAGATCCCTAGATCCCCAGTTTCCCAGCATTGCCCTTATCAGCAGAAGACAAATACAGGGAAATTAAAATTTTTCTCTTTTTGGAATCGACACATTTAAAAATAAATGTCGAGTGCTTTAGTGTTGTTGGTTTTTTTTTCAAACATCCATTGTGTAAAGGGGGGGGGGGGGGGGGCGCTAACCCCAAAACTCAGAGTGGAAGCAATTTCTTCCCCCCCCCCCCAAATCGCGTTGACGCCCCCTGCAATAATGTAATTGAGAAATTAAAGTACAAATAACCAGGCAGTGGCACATCATTGGCAAATTTAGTCGAGGCAGAAGACAATAAAATACAATACATTAATTTCCTTTCCGACCCCTAAGAGTAGCAATGCTCTGTGCAAGAGAGTTAAGAGCCTTAACCAGAGAACTTCTACGAGAGAATATTTCATTGATTCTTTCCCTTGAAATTTATCAATTTATTTATTTTAAAAATAAAGACAAAAATGGTTTTTTTTCTAATATCTTAAAAAATTCAGATTTCAATTAATTTAATTTCGAACTGAATCTTGCAAATATGATAATTTGCCTTGATATGGTGGTGATGCACTAATCACACACCTTGAAAAGTAGATACATGCACCTAACATCATTTAACTGAATATAACTGTAATTTTGGCATTGATAGTGTTAGTAAATATTAAACTTTTCTATACATTTCTAATATTGAATGTTTTGGGTTTTTTTTAATTACGCTTTTCGTTAATTTTTAAAAATTTTTTAATGTTTTTCTTTTATTTCCAAAATGTTCTTGTGTTAAGGGGATAGTGTAAGATGTTTGAAGTTTTAGGTGGTAAATCTGGTTCTCAAACCTCAACCACACATAGCATCTTGTGGACTCTAAATAAGATACGTAAGACTGGATACATTGCACAATGCGGGATAGATTATTGCAAGACATCGTTTTCCTTTTTGAGCCCACCCCCCCCTTGCCACTTTTCGGATTACCCTCTACCCCCAACCCCCTTGCCACTTTTCGTATTAGCCTCTACCCCCACCCCCACCCCCCAACCAACACCTGCCCGTTTGCATTGAAATTCGCTCACTATTTTAAAACCTTGTCCACATCACAATTGTGTGTACCCTTATCTAGCCCAGCCTTCCTGCAGCCGCAAGAGGTTCCAGGGCCTGGGAACGCTACGGCTCTGATTCGAGGGCCCCAGGCGTGAGACCCCTTGATCTAAATTAACGGAATGCGCACACGCCATGAGCGTGGGGCGCGCTTTTTGGTGGTGGGGGGATAACAAAAACAATCGGTGAAGTGGGTGCATCAACAAACAACACCTATGGAGCTTCAAGTCTCTCTCTCTCTCTCTCTCTTTACTTCCACACGTGGGCTCTAGGAAGTTTAGGTAAGTTGCTTTCATTGATTCGTGACTGGGTGGAACTTCAACTCTCTCTCTCTCTCTCTCTTTACTTCCACACGTGGGCTCTATGAAGTTTAGGTAAGTTGCTTTCATTGATTCGTGACTGGGTGGAACTTCAATTTATTGCTTTACAAATTATTTTGATTACTAAGAAATTAATGGTTGAAGTATTGTAGACAAAAAAAAAAATAACACTAGATACTTCTTAATGAAAATATAATATGATAAACATCAGCAAAACTACAACGGCAAACAACAAAAATATTATTTTTTTCTGAAAGGTAAACAAAAGTTCTTATTAAAAGCTGTTCACCGTAATCATTCACGCCAGATCCATACGATATTCAGTCTTCACTTATAATGCCAAACATCTTTACATAATTTATTAATTAATGTTCCAAATGTGATTTCTCTTTTCCAAAGTGTCATATTCACAAGCTTTATTTCGTGAAATATTCTAAAGGTTTGAAAGGGCGCAAATTATTATTATTGATTTGTTTTTTTTGGGTTTTTTGTTTTTTAGTTTTTTGTTGTTTTTTTTTGTTGTTGTTTTTTTTAACATTCTCGTTGAACTAGTTTCTGACAGGAATCAATAAAATGACAAAGTCTGATAGGCCTTCCGAAAAATATGAGATGAGAAAAAAAATTCTTATTTATAGATTATATATTTTAACTTGACGTAAATTTAAACAATTTAATCATGGTGAAACCTTTCTGCTGTTACGTAAGTGTAAGTAATCTTAAATATTTAAGTATTATTATTATTATTATTATTAACTGTTATTAAATAAATATATAACAATTATTTTCTGTGCAGTTCATTGGCTTGAAGTTGGGTTAAGTGGAGCTAGAGTATAAACAGGAGAAATATATCTAAAAACCTAAAAATATATTTTTAAAATAAAAACAAACAAAATTTGACGACACACTATCTCAAATCCAGATTAAGCTACAAAACGTAAAAATGGGTAGATATAGGCGTGACTTCGCAATAGCTGGTAGCAAGTAGTACAGTAAGCCTTCCCTTATTAACCCGGTAACACTGGATACTATCCTCTAGTTGATTAGAATAAATTACTCATATCGACTTCTGGTGAAGAAAAAAAAAGGAAAGCTTTCAGCACATGAACCCAACACTACGTTCATAAAACTACGTTCTTTGTGAATAATTAATTCCACTGTTCAGAGCTCATGGTTTAACTCTTAAAACCAAACGTTTTTACTCATTTAGCCCCCCCCCCCCACACACACATTTTTTTCCCTTATTTTTTCACAAAAAATTATTTAGCATTTACCAGGATGTGACTTAAAAAAAAAGGAAAACTTTCAGCACATGAACCCAACACTACCTTCATAAAACTACGTTTTTTTTGAATAATTAATTCCACTTTTCAGAGCTCATGGTTTAACCCTTAAAACCAAACGTTTTTACTCATTTAGCCCCCCCCCCCCCACACACACATTTTTTTCCCTTATTTTTTCACAAAAAATTATTTAGCATTTACCAGGATGTGACTGTATCCTATTTAATAGTGATTATTTATAATACTCGCCATTTTCCTAACAGTTATTATTATTGTTAGCACACTCAACTTGAACGTTCAACTTAGATCAGGGGCCAGCACTCTGTGTGAAACAATTCGTGATTGTACACGTACAAGAGTGGTGTATCTTTAGCCCAAGTTTTCGTTGTAATTCTAGCTGTTCTGGCAGTAAAAACAATTCTAATAGATAAAATTATTAACACTGGAGTTTCAACAAAAAAAATACTTAACCGGACCGAAGTCTGCAGAACTTGAACGAGAAACAAGCATGTTATGTGTTGCCAGGCGCCATGTGTTGCCAGGCGATGGAGGAGGAGAATACTGACATAAATGAATGATCACGTCAGAGGGAATTAAAGAATCGGACTTAAGGTAACGAGAGTAAGGTAGCAGGCTCGTTTTTATTTCTCTGTCTCTCTTTCTTTCTCTCTCTTTCTCTAACGAACGTGCACGGGCAAGGTAAGGCGTATCACGTTACGTTAACGCGCTAGTTGAGGGCTTAAGACTCCACACAGGGCTGCTAATTCGCATGTGAATTTTACCTCATAGTCTGTGAATTCTTTAGGATGTCCGCGAAGAAAAAATAAAAATCCAGATATTGCCGAAAAAGCCATGAAGAATTTTTTTTTAGATAAAATTTTTAGCATTTCTTTTCTTTCTGTTTGCTTCCTTTAAACATAAATGGTGATAATCATGAGAAATTCAACTTTGATGAGAATGCCATTCAACAAAATAACTAATTAAAATAGACTTATGATGACAGATTATGAATGATGTAACTTAGAATGGGAATGTTTCTTATGCTTAAACATTTTCAGCTGTTTCGTATTAAAAATGATTGTTTCTTTAAAAATAAATTATCTTTTTTTTCTAAAGATTCAAAGATATAGAATATGTTTCAGTTTATGTTATTGACTCGACCACATATACTGACGGTATAGTGACCAGGATATCAAAACCTAGATGGCTGAAACATGGTGGTCGAATATGTTATTACACTACCTACGTCAACGCAACCAAATGACGTGCGTCCAATACAATGAGAAAATCAAAATCTCGCGTTGTGATCATAACTCCGGATGACGCTCAACACATCCACCAAGTCTTAGTTGTGCTGACTGTCGTTGGCGTCGCGGATCATCTTTAAAGTTTCTGACTTGATGGCACACAAATGTGTTGACAAGAACATTTCGGCTAAGAGACTTCCTCGAACCACTCAAGTTTTTTAAACTCTATTATATATACTATGTCGTATTTTCTTTTGTCCTGTCTACTGAGGAAAGCTTTCAGCCAAAATGTTCTTGTGGTATTGTCCTGTTAACTATTTCACGCTTGTCTACCATGTTCTACTATTCCATGCTGGTGTATAAATAACATATTAATAATTATTTTTTTAAATACAATGTGCTTTTTTTTTTACTTGATCTAAATCTTCAACTTTAACAACTTACAGGGAAAAACTTTAAGTCACTTTTATCTGGAGCATCACGAACATGGCGCTTTATCGGACCACTTGGATAATTGGGCTTCTCGGGATTGTTCCGCTGGTGCAGAGTGCCAAGATTAGTCGCCCCTTGTTTCTCTCTCCGTATCTGGAGAAGGGCCTGATACAGGAGGCGCGGAAAGACAGCAGGGTGCACTTACCCAGGTTTTCAGAGCTTGAGAGCTACTCGGGGTTCATCACCGTGGACAAAACGTTTGGGAACCACTTGTTCTTCTGGTTCTTTCCGTCGTCGCAAAGGACCGGAGGCCCGCTGACGATCTGGCTGAATGGGGGGCCCGGGGTCTCCTCGATGTTTGGGCTCCTGTGGGAGAACGGCCCTCTGCAAGCCTCGGCCAATGAGTCCCATATAGACATGACTCTGCGGGGACACTCGTGGGCGCGGCCATTTTCGATGTTATATATAGACAACCCGGTGGGGGTCGGCTACAGCTTCACTGAGAAGAGAGCGGATGGCGAGCGAGTGACCATGGAGGGCGTCACGAAAGATCTCTATTCCTTCATCGAGCAGTTCTACAAAATGTTTCCCGAATACAAGGTGCGGCCCCTCTACATCGGCGGGCAATCCTACGCCGGCAAATACGTGCCCAGCTTCGCCCACCACATCGACCGTCAAATCCGAGACAGACCTTTGGCCGGGATACACATCGGGGGCGCTTTCTTCGACCCGCCCGTCCAAAGTCCGGCTTACTTCGAGTACCTCTACAGCATGGGGAGCATCAGCTTCGGCCAGATGATGCACTACAAGCGAGAGATCTCGGAGCTCATTCGGCAGATCAAGAACGGCGAGCTGGACGTAACCTACATGTCTGAAATTATCGGGGTCCTGCTGCCGAAAGTCGGATTGAGCAATCCGGACAACTACGTGGAGTCGAGACAAAACGGGTACTGGGTCGTGTCGGAGATAATGAGTTCACGGAATCTGCGGGAAGCGGTCCACGTGGGGGCGAGGCATTTCAGCGTGTTTAACGATGACCTGATGGAGCGGTTCGGCGCCGAGGTGTTCGTCAGCCAAAAGCCGAGCCTCGCCGAGCTGATGGACCGGTACAAGGTCCTGCTCCACTCCGGGGACTACGACGTCATCGTGAGCTCCGCCATGGTGGAGGCCGCGCTCATGACGACCCCGTGGTCGCTGCAGGGCGAGTACAACACCACCCGGTGGTCAGCGTGGTGGTCGGCGGAGGGCAAACTGCGCGGGTTCTACTCCAAGACCGGGAAGTTGTGCCGGGTGGTGGTCAAGGGGGCCGGGCACCAGACGCCGCACGATCAGCCGGAAGCGGCCCTGGAGATGATGGTGCAGTTCGTCGACCACGGGTGTATCATAGAGAGGAACCGCGCCCCCAAGTAAGTCATCAAGTTCTCTTTTTAAATCACATTTTTGAATTATATGAAAGAACATTAGGAATTTTTTAAAATCCAGAATGAGTCAGTGTCATGTTTTGTAGTTGGCTTGGGGAAACCCTGGTCCATCAATGATTTTATTTATCAATATTGAAATTGTGACTTTCCAAGGGTGTATTTTTTTGTTGTTGTAATGGAGCTTTGAAGAAAAATTTAGTTCGAGTTGGAGTTGACAAATAAAAGTTCGATCCATTAATCTTTTAATGGGCCCGTACCCTTTGAGGTTAGGACAAAACGAAAACTGTTTTAAATGTTAAGAATCGAATAAATATCTTTCATTTTTTTTTTTTTTAAATTGAAAAAGTTTAATCAAGGCAACATGAATTCCTAAAAAACTGCATATTCAACTTCCTTAGCCCTTAAGAAAACCTCACGTGCTAACAAACATTAGCGATCTCACTTGCTAACAAAAGTTAGGGACCACGTTTGCTAACAAACATTAGTGACCCAGCCTGCTAACAAACATTAGTTACCACACAAAAGCTAACTAAAATTCCTTCTTCCCTGGTATTTGATATGAATGAGACCGGGGGAGGGGGGAGGAAAGGAGTGATATTTAAATTAAAAAATAACATTTTTTTTAGTAAAAACTTTGTTCCTAATTTACCCTCAGAATAGAAAGAGTAAATTTCTTTGTTCCCCAGAAGACGATTTCACAGGAGAAAGCCCAACTGTACAGCCAAAATGTCATCGTCGAGGGACTGCAATCTGCCAATACTCTAAACAAAATGAAATTAAAATTTGCTCCACATATCTACAATTAAGAATATACTTTTTTTTTTTCAAGAGTACGTGGAAACGCTGCTTGCATATTTCCTCACACTATAATGTGTTCAACAGGGAAACCTTATTATTTTACTTTTGTACCTGAATATATTTTTTTCCACATAAAAGCTCTTACTGTTCACTTTTGTTACATCAAATTCTCAACTTCCAATATCAACTTGAGACGCAAGAAAACGTAAATAACAAGCGAGAACACAGAATAACAGTAGAATATCTACTTTTAGCCCAGATCCCCCTAAAAATCGTTACCTTCAAAATCACCTATAGACTTTAATCCCCTTAATTACTGTACGTTTGACAATAAGAAAATTGATTTACACCCCCCCCCCAACCTTCCCTCCCGCTCCCATCAGTAAATATAACAGCCTTAACTGCACATCTGATAGAGTGCCATTAAATAACTCAAAGTGTGTCAAAGCGAATCTTTTTTGTTGTTGTTTTTTTTGTTTCAAACAGGAACAGGATGTTTGTTTACATGTGACTGCATTATTTTTATGTATTTGTTTAGAACTGATTGTAACTATACGTAACTATTTACAACTGTATCATATAAAACTAAAATAATAACTATATTTTCAGCTATATGTCATTATATGTCATTTAATCACATGAAACTATACTCAAATGTATACAAAACAATACGTTTTCTGAACGTTTAAAATCCTAAAAATAAACGTCATGTTAGTAATTTTTTTTTTTTATGTATCTAAAACTCCTTCAATTTTCTTGTTGACTTTGTTGATTTTTTTGTTTTTTTTAATCTAGGAGTAAAGATAGTTTTTGTAACATTTTAAAGAGTGTGTTTTCATCAGCAGCGAGCATATGTGCCAAGTTTCAGCACGATAAGTTGGTGGGAATAGGGTCAATTAGCCATCGAAAAGTGTTCCAACCATCCACGAACAAAAGTGAATTTAATATAAAGAATGTTCAAATGGACATTGGGGTGGGGGTGGGTGTAGGGGAGTGTTGGCTGGTGGAGTTCGTTGCTATCATAAATTAGCTTTAATTTATCTTCGAGATAGTTAACATAGCTCGTCTCTACAATTTTCCTTTTAAAAGTGCATTCTTTTAGGGCATGGGGGGGGGGGCGCATAGGCTCCATCTGTATGTATTCCTACAAAGTTACACCATAACATTGATCAGGCGAATATCTCACCAGGCGTCTTCCATCCACTTAGAGACGTTCATGGTGTTTGAAAAGTACATATATATATAAGAATGAGCTAGTGTATAATATTTAAATTTAAAATAAAATTCCCGAATGGATTTTGTCCAACATCTCCCATCGCGCACCATGTTGCTCTCTCCTTAGTCGCTTCCCCCACCACGCACTTGATAACTTACGCGCCAAATGCTCACAAAAGAACGCGAGTTTACGTCACTGAGTTTCACATCGCTAACCTCCCCTTTATGCTTGGCCATGATCATTAACCCAGAACTCTTGTAATAAATGATAAAATATATTTTTTGCTGAAATACTAGACGACACATATCCTAGGATTTATGAAAATGTAAAAAATAGCATGGCACGTGGTCCATGTGAACAAAAGAATCCTCAGTCCGTGCATCTGTAATTATTATGATTATAGATTAAGCTCCCCTTCCCCAACGTTACACTCCCAACGTGTTTGAGTTGCCCAACAGAGTTATCACAGAGTTGTTTACCTTTGTAACCTAACGCACGAAATCTTTTGAATGGGGAATTTCCGCTCAATCTAACAGAAACACACCAAAAAAATAAAAAAAACAAACAAAAAAAAAAAACAAGCAATTAACTTTTAGAAATCAAAGTTACAAGTTTCCATTTCTCACGTCTGCCAGAAGGGTGTATGCAGGGCTAAATCCTCTGTAACAATTAATTGTAACTTAAAGGTGCATAAATGTGTGTGTGTGTGGAGGGGGTTCGGTTTTGGGGTGTTCCGTACTCAGGCAGTATTTATGTATAATTTTCATCCTTAAAATGATACTTGCGCATTAGGAAACAAAATTTGAACATTTATTTTTTTTTCTTTGCAAATGAATTAGCGCTATAATATTTAAATTTATTAAAAAATAGAAACAATATTATAAAGGGGGAAAAGTCGTGATGCTCTCTCTCCCAAATGCTCGCTTGTGTTACCTCGGCAGATTCCTGAATTCGAAACAGAGACAACTGTACTAGCTTGTACTGCATACACTTTGGCGCCTACTGCTGCGCCATGCACTTCTGTTGTGACATTCATGCCACATGTGGGATATTTGGCTGGTGTGTCATTATTAACTGGTGTGCCATTCATGCCCCATGTGTGATTATTGTCTGGTGTGTCAGTGATGATCGATGTGTCAGTTACGACGTAGTTCATTCTTTCCCCTCATCTGAACGGTTGCGGGCCAAAGAAGGTATAGAATAGCAGTGACCCGGAACCAAACACATCAAACACAAAAGTAAAGTGTACTTACTTTAAATTAAAACAACATATTTAGCTGAAATATCTCTTTATTGTCTCAGAATAGTCGGGGGGGGGGGGGAAACAGGAAAATTGAAGTTTTTTGGGGGGGGGGGGACATTTTTTTTTTTTTTTAAAAAACAAAAGAAAAGTGTATTTACATTAAATTAAAACAACAGTTTTAGGTGAAATATCTCTTTATTTTCCAAGAATAGGGGGGGGGGGGGGGTAATCAGTAACATTGAAGTCTTTTGGGTGGGTGTGGACATTTTTTTTTTCTTTAACAGAAGATAGTATTGTTTTACAGACAAGATGGAAATAGTGTAGGTGGCTATGGTGAGGGTGGCACGCCCCAGTGTTTACTCGAAATACTCGAGCCTTTATTGTTATGTCATCATCAAGTTTAAACATGAAAAAGTAAGTCAAAAATATTGAGACAGTACTCGGTGGGGGTGTGGGGGGGGGGTCTTTTTTTTATTTTCTTATCTTTGTTTTTTTTAAGTATTATTATTTATTTTATATATTTTTTTTATTTAACCTTTTCTTTCTCTTAATCTTTAAAAAAATTGTGACAGAGGGCAAAGGGAAGTAAATGTGCTTATATTTGTAAAATATGTTGAGTTATTTTCCTTGTTAATTTCCCATTTGGTAGCATTGACATATAAAGAGAAGGGATCAGTTACAGGCGATGTGTGAAATCCATAGAATGCCATGCCAAAGTGTATAATGGTTTATGTGCTTCACACTTTTCTAGAAATTTGCCTATTTGTGTGTGCCCTGACCTGGGCAAAGTAATATAATAACACACAAGGGGATCCGACTTGAAGACAAATCGAGAGCGTAAAATAATAAGTAGCTTCTTTTTTTTTTTTTTTGTAAAGACTTTATACATATATAAAACTGAGTTCTGGTATAAAGCTGTTGTAATAAAGCTGTTGTAATAAAGCTGTTGTAATAAAGATTTTGTAATAAAGCTGTTGTAATAAAGCTGTTTAAATAAACCTGTTGTCATGTCCTGGTGATAACACACGAGTCAGAAAAATCCATTTGTAAGGGAACAATTCATGCATAAAACATTTCAGAACATACGTGCCAGTCCTCGAGCCTTTCTTTTTTTTTTTTTTTTGTTATGATGGGAAAACACAATCCACATACGACCTTCACCTTGGCTACACAAACCACTTTTAGGAGATATTTTAAGTAATCTTAATAAAAATCGTATTTGTTTGTTTTTTTTTTGTTGTTTTTTTTTGTAATACGAAAGCTAATTTTAACTGATGTCATTATTGTCATCTGAATTCAAGCGAACACGCCAAAGGCAAAATTCAAACGGGAATTTCAATTGGTATATTTAGTGCTGTCATCGGTTGTGCGGTGTTGGTCCTTGCCCAGGCCTAACACAAACTCTCACTAGCTCTATTTTGAGTAACTTACTTAAACTTAAACTTACATTTCACGTCAACGTTTTGTCAGATTGATACTCGGCCCTTGACTGGAGCGGTCTTATTCAAAATTTAAAGGTAAGTTTCATTATATGCTTACACTAGTAATCAATTATACATTTCATATTTTTTAAATTATTATTTTTAAATTTTATTTGACGTCTACTGTATTGTTTAACGAATTTTTTGAGGATTTTTTTTTTCATTTTAATAACATAACTTTATTTTTTCTTTTGAGAGAATGTGTCAACTGAAGATTTTAATTGTGTTTTATAATTTATTTAAAGAAATGGCCCGTTCATTGAATTCCTATATAGTGACGAGATAATTTACGTATCAGAGATTGTGTTTCATTTATTTTTTTAAAAAATCATCAATAGCCTCCCCTGTCGTTTGGAGTTGCTTCCCCGTCAAGCTAACTTCGCGAATAAAGACTCAAATTATGTTTTCATAATAAACTGACATCTAGCGTTATTGAATAGTTCAACATGTTGCAAGCTTTCTTGTTCAATTTAATGTTACTTGAAACTTTAAAAAAATGTACGTCACCTTTTTTTTTTAATATTTAGTTTATTTTCCAAAAACTTTTAAACTTGCACCTTACAATTTTGAATTTTCTTTGTTCAATCTCCGTTAATTAAAATTCGAACAAACTTCAGGTCTAGCAACGTGCCTTCGTACAAATAGGTTTTGAACAGATCGGTATAGTGCTAATTTCCGCCAAGTTATGCCTTTCGGTTCAACTCCTGCCAAATGACATACTCTAATTCTCAGTAGCTGACAAACGGCTCAGTCAGCTGACAAACGGCTCAGTAGCTGACAAACGGCTCAGTAGCTGACAAATGGCTCAGTAGCTGACAAACGGCTCAGTAGCTGACAAACGGCTCAGTAGCTGACAAATGGCTCAGTAGCTGACAAACGGCTAAGTAGCTGACAAACGGCTCAGTAGCTGACAAACGGCTCAGTCAGTTTCCGATAAAATGTGTCCAGGATGTTGTTGTGAAAACCCACCACAGCGTGACAGCTATAAATATCCCTTCCTACAGCTGACACACATGCTGGATATTATGGCTGCGTACGGATTAGCTCAGCCGTTGGTACATCCTCCTACACTACCCCCATCCACCATCCCCAACACCTACCTCACCACACAGTTTTGATGTTGTTGTGTTTTAACTTAACTGAATTTAAAGATATTTTTTTTGTACAAGAATGTATTCCCCCCTGCCAACCCCCTACCCCCCGACCTTTTTAAAGTTGTGGGTAAAGACGTAGATATTGAATCACCAGCCCCTGACTTACAAATGACGTCATCAACTCATTTACTCTCTAACCAGATGTGTTAATGGGTGTATTTATTTTTTCTTT